AACTAGTCCTCAGAGAAGAGGACTTGTCAGCACCATTTGTCAACATTGTTAATCCTAAATTCAGCTGGTAATTGTGATAGCCACCACTGTTTTTTGGTTATCTCCATCCAAAGGAATAATAAACTCCTCGTATTTTTACTACAGGGGTAGTTTTACTGTTTGGAATCAGTTCAAGTTAGGCTCTTCCCTCCCATGGAAACTGACAGATGGGGCAGCTGACTTTCTTACTGATTACGTCTTAAAGAGTATGCTCCCAGGTCCTCAAGGAAACATTCCTGGGCTGTAAAACTGGCAAGAGGCTTATCTAGCCTTTCAAGAGGATTTCTCAACAAAGAAAGAATTTACAAGTACAGATTTTCTAAAGTAAACGCTCTAAGGAAAAGAGAAGAGAGAGATTCCCTTTCCCTTTTTTTGCATTAGGGATTTTTTTTTTTTTTACCCTTACATAAGCATTAAGGAGGAAAATAATTAAAGAAATGAGATTCTAGCATGTAAGGCAGTCAGCCCTAAGGTGGCTCGGAAGGCTAGACAGAGCCAGGTTCCTGCTATGCTATCATTATATGTTATGCTGTTAACCAAAAGTCGGCAGTTCAAATCCACCAGCCACTCCTGGGAAACCCTCTAGGGCAGTTCTACTCTGTCCTTTAGGGTCGCTATGAATCAGAATCAACTGGAGGGCAACAAGTTTGGTTTTGAGTATTAGGAAAGGAGCCTCAACGGTGTAGTAATTGAAGTGCTTGGCTGCCAACTGAGAGGTCGGCAGTTTGAAGCTACCAGCCACTCCGCAGAAGAAAGATGTGGTAGTCTGCTTCCATAAAGATTTACAGCCTTGGAAACCCTATGAATTGGAATTGACTCTATGGCAATGGGTTTGGTTTGGTATGCTATTAGGAGGGGCACCTGCGTGGTACAACGGTTAATGCGCTGGGCTACTAACCAAAAGGCTGTCGGTTCAAGTCTGCCCAGAGGTGCCTCGGAAGAAAGACCTGGCGATCTTATTCCAAAAAATCAATCATTAAAAACCCTAAGGAGTACAGTTCTACTGTGAGGCACATGGAGTTGCCATGAGCTGGAATCAACTCCACGGCAACTGGAAAGTTGATGCTACTAGGAATCCTGCTCTCACCTCTAGATTTATTTTAAATGCAGAAAAATTAAAACCCTAATTTGTTTATGTAGCTGTTTTTCAGCCTTCTGTTACTAGCAGGTAAATGTCATCCCCCAATTGATAGTGATCCAAAGAGAAGATTCCTCAAATAGCCTAATAACATTTCTCAGATCTTATCCATATGAACAGGTTGTTTGGCATAACACAAATAGCAAGACAAGTAATAGATTCTTGACAGAGTAACTACTCTCATCTATGCACACACACACAAAAAAAACACTGTTGTAAAAATGTAATGATTTTTCACACACCTTTTCTTTCTTTTTATATATATATATCACAGTCTAATTGTATCCCACATTGATCCTGCAGAAGTGGGATCTATGTGGCTGCTTTAATATTTGTTGTTGTTGTTGCTATTTGCCATCAAGTTGATTTTGACTCATAGTGACCTCGTTTGACAGAACAGAACGGCCCCATAAGTTTTTCTAGGCTGTAATCTTCACAGGAGCAGATCCACTAGATCTTTCTCCAGTGGAGCCACCAGGTGGGTTCAAACTGCCAACCTTTTGGTTAGCAGCTGAGTGCTTGTGATGGTTAAGATTGTGTGTCATCTTGGCTGGGCCATGATTCTCAGTGTTTTAATGTAATCACTCCCATGATTGAATATACTGTGAGTAGCCAATCAGATGAAAGGGAATCTCCTTGGGGGTGTGGCCCACATCTGTATATAAGCAGACGTTCTTGCTTTTTGCTCTCTCTGGATCCTGCGGCTGCTTCCTGTTGTCTCATCTCCTGTTCTTGGGACTTGAGCTGTCAGCTTATCTGCCAAACCTGGGATTCGTAGATCTGCACAGCCTGTGAGCGGGAGCCCTGCTCTCTGACCTGCCGATCTTGGGCTTGCCAGCTTCTGCAGCTGTGTGACTTGGGAGAGGCCTCTACCCTGATCCACGGACTTGGGACGTTCTAGCGTCTACAATCACATGAGCTGTTTCCTTGATATAATCTCTCTCTATATATATATATTTATACACTTTATTGGTTTTGCTTCTCTAGAGAACCCAGCCTAAGACAGCACTTAACCATTGTGCCACCAGGGCTCCTTTTCACAGATCTTTTCTGAAGACTGATGATTGAAATCATTTCAGAAGTGTCCTGAAGTTGCTTAACCTTACAGCAATGCATTAAATACTAATGCTTATGTGAACAAGAGGTGGGGCGCAGATATAAAGAGAGAATGAGGAAGAAGTGAGGGACAGAGAGAAGTGGGGGAAGGACTCCTGAGGCTTTGTCTCCAGCAAAAGTTGCAAATTCAGATGCCTGCACCGGGAAAGCGGGAAATGCAAATAACGTAGCAGTCCAGGAGTAAGAAAAACAAGGTCCTCCTTCTTTGTTTTCCGACTTTTGAGGAGACATGGGAGGACTAAAATTTCTCTGCTAGAGGTAAAAAAAACAACTACTCAAGCTAAATGACAAATACCAATTGACCTTTCCCTTTGTGTCAAGGAAACGGGAGTGTGGACTCTGGTGAACTGTGAGGGGGAACCACCACTCAGCACCATTGATTGTTCTTGGACCTCACGTTGCCAGACGGTTTGATTTTTTTAAAGCTGGAAATCTGGATTTTTTTATGTGCAATCTCCATTTTTAAATGTTGGAATTGAATTTAATATTTCTGGTGAACACTCTATTAGCAGATTTCATGCTTCTGCAGACCAGGTATCCAAGAAGTAGACGATCAGTTTGCACTGTCCAGGATGCTGAATGGACAGGATAAGAAGCTGTTGAAAAGAAAGGATGGAGAAGAGGAAGGGGCTGTCTAAAATTAGGTAAGGAAGAGAGGGAGACGGTAATGAAGAGGCCACAGATGGTGAGATGAAAAGAGGGAGAAAAGTAGCTGGAAAGACAAAATGTTGGAAAATATGAACAAGAAGAGATTAGGAGGGAGTAAAGAAAAGAGAAGGAGTACCAGTGGTACAAACAATTAAGCACTCAGCTGCTACCAGAAAGTTTGGTGGTTCAAACCCACTCAGTGACTCTGCAGGAGAAAGACCTGGCAAACTTCTTCTATAAAGATCACAGCCTAGAAAATCTTATGGGACAGTTCTACTGTGTCATGTGGGGTCAATAAGAATCCAAATCTACTCAACCTACCTAACTACAACAATAAAAGAAGGGAGGAAGAAGGAAAGGAGGATGGAAAAGAAAGCACAAAAAGGGAGAAGATTTGAAGAGGTAGGAGGTAGCAGGGCTGCTATAGGTGAGGGTGGAGATTTAGAAACTTCAAAAGAAAGGGACAGGATTATACAGGAACTGTGGAGAGAACTATGATTCTATACGGTGAAGGGGAAGCCCACAAATTTCTCAGCCTTTGGGTATTACTTTTTTTTTTTTAATGGTCAAACATTTCAGGCCCTCACTTTCTATAACTATAGGAAGTCCAGGGCCCTGCCCTAGGAAGTGCTGCCATTTTCCTGGTTCATACTGCTTCTTGCTTCTGCTTCCTCTCAGCACCTCTCTGTGGGGAGTTCAGCCTCTTCAGCCCCTCCCTTCCCTCAGAAGCTGACACTGGGTTAGGGGTCAACTCGACTTCAGTGGAGGCTTGAACCATGGGTAGGCCTGTTAAGAAGGGGAATTACAGCCCAGAACAAGGAACAATGTAAAATTCCATATCAGAAATGACTGTTCCGTCTAGCTCAATTGGCATAACACAGTTTATAAAGAAAATGTTCTACATTCTACCTTGGTGAGCAGCATCTGGGGTCTTAAAAGCCTGTGAGCAACCATCTAAGATGCTCCACTGGTCTCACCCCTTTAAGAGCAAGGGAGAATGAAGAAAGCAAGATACAAGCGAAAGATTAGTCCAAAGGACTAATGGACCACAACCACCACAGCCTCCACCAGACTGAGTCCAGTACAACTAGATGGTACCTGGCTACTGCCACTGACTGCTCTGACCAGGCTCACAACAGAGGGTTCCGGACGAAGCGGGAGAAAAATGTAGAACAAAATTCTCATTCACAAAAAAAGACCAGACTTACTGGCCTGACAGAGACTGGAGAAACCCCGAGAGTATGGCCCCTGGACACCCTTTTAGCTCAGTAATGAAGTCACTCCCGAGGTTCACCGTTCAGCCAAAGATTAGACAGCTCCATAAAACAAAACGAGACTAACAGGCTCAACAGTCCAGGGACAAGGACTTTAAGGCAGGAGGGGACAGGAAAGCCGGTAATAGGGAACCCAAGGTTGAAAAGGGACAATGTTGACATGTCGTGGGGTTGTTAACCATTATCATAAAACAATATGTGTACTAACTGTTTAATGAGAAACTATTCTGTAAACTTTCATCTAAAGTACAATTAAAAAAAAAGTACGAATTAAAAAAAAAAAAGAAATGACTGTTCCTAAAATGATCTCTACCCCAAGGTGGACATTTCTCACCCTTCTGCTCAAGGAAGATACCTTCTTCATTGTGCTCAGCAATAGGACATCTTTGGATTGATCAACCTCTTGTTCCAGACTCTGCCTTAATATCATGTAATCAAAGAGTACATTAAAGTGTTTTCTCCTGCAAAAGGGCAATATTTCCCAAAATTTACAACTCTACTATATTCCAAAGCAAAAAAAAAGATGAAAGAAAGAAATATGATCAGCTTATAGAAGTTGTGAGACAGGAGCAACAGAATTAGAGAAGATGGAGCAGAGTTTGGAGCTGATGTGGAGATAAGACTGCTGTGCTGTTTAGGTCTTCAAGGGGCTATGGAATTAGAAGAGCTATGGCTGTATCCTCAACTGTATCCTCCTCTGCCAGGCCCCATGGCTGTTGTTTCCTGAATGGCATGCCAGTTCTCCTCAAGGCCTACAGAGACCATTTCCTATTTTCTGTACTCACCTGTGTATCCTTACAAAAGAAACTCATTTCCTGAAGTAGCCTGGATGTGTCTCTGGTTTTTGCAGCCTGAAAGAGCTGAACGACGCCTTCCCACCAGCTTGTTTGTTCAGAGTAGCCAGGTTTTTGTTTGTTTTCTTTTTCCAGTTGATAGGAGGGTTGAGGATGCTTGAAGACGGAATGGAAATGTTCCAGATCTGAAGGATAGAGGGAGGAATGCACAAACAGCTGCAGAGAAGTGTGAGCTGTTCAAGTTCTGAACCCATTAGAGGATGTGTTCAGAAAAACAAAACAAAACTTATCTAATAAGGGATGTAAGAGTAAACACAAACCAAAAAGAAAAAAATTATGTATATATAATTTTCTCTGGTGCAAAAGGGAAAGAGAGCTAATCTTCTCTCCCCCCACCTTTTTTTTTTTTTACAGCATTTACTTTAGAAAATTTGCAATTGTAAATTGTTGCTCTGTTTCTTTTGGAATGTATATAAATCCTTTAAAAGGGCTAACCAAGCTTCTTACCAGTTCTACAATCCCAAAATGCTTCTTCAAGGACCTAGGAGCCATCTCTTTGAAATGTAATCATCATAAAAGACAACGACCCTGTCTCCCAGTGTCTGTGAGAGGGTGGAAGCCTAACTTCTAAGGGTGCTGTTGTCCGAGTTACAAAACTCTCTTCTGCCTTAAAGATATGAAAAGTTTATTTTTTCTTTTGGATAAAGGTAATTAACAAACTCAGGTGGCGACTCCAATTACCAGATAAATTTAAGATGAATTCAACATAAGAAATGGTGTTAAATCTCCTTTCCTGAGGAATACTTATCATTTATCTTGAGAACATGTATGGAATGGGTTGCATCTGCTTGGCTATATAAAGGCTCAGATTCCTTTCTGTCTTTGCAATTTCTTTAGCAGATTGCCTGTGGTGTATCACATTCTGGTTTAATGCTTATTCAATAATAAAATTATTTTCATTCTCTTCTACCTTTGTGAAGAGGTTTTCTGGACTGAGTGTAGATTTTGTTTCTAATTTAATTACATTTTCCCAACAGAGATCAAACCAAACCAAACCCATTGTCCCAACAGAGGGAAGTGGCAGAAAATGACCACAATCTAGATCATTTTCTTGGTGAACAAATTGCCATAAAATCGAAACGGTTCTTGACCTTCAAGCAACCCCTTTTTTGTGCTTCTAAACAAACAGCAACAGCAACATGGGCCCCTCCCATAACCTTCCAAGCACCCTCAGACCCCACTGTTTTGCCCCCGAATCTATACTTTTTCTTCTTTTACTCTCCCTCTACTCTTGCCTTTTCAATTCCAACACACATTCCTCTTCCTCATTCTTCTTCTTTTATTCAATCATCCAACACATATGTAATAAGTGCCCACTACATACCAGGTCATGAGTCAGAATTGACTCGATGACAATGGGTTTGATATTTTTGTTTATGTGCCAGGCCCTGTGCTGGCAATCGGCGGCAAGATGGATGAGACAGAGCCCCCTCCGAAGCCACAGATCATTACAAACCAGGGTGATGACTCCAATGTCTAAGCCAACCACCGACTGCATCTGAGCTTAGTGGCTCTGGGCAGGCAAGTGGGGTGAGGTTAGTCCTTAGGTAGAAAAGTGAGCAGAAATATAGGGTGCTGTGCTTTCATCACAGGCCACAGACTTAGGGCTTTGAGCCTGGAATTTGATGTGATATAGACTCAAATTCTACTTACCAGTTGTGTGACCTTATCCCTTAGCCAATTTTTCCTTCTGGAATAATCATTTACCAGTTGTCGTTGAGTCAACTCTGACTCATGGCAACCCCATGTATGTCACAGTAAAACTGTGCTCAATAGAGTTTTCAGTGACTGATTTTTGGAAGTAGATTGCCAGGCCCTTCTTCTATGATACCTCTGGGTGGACTTGAACCTCTAGCTGTTCCGTTGGCAGCAAGCACATTAACTGTTAACCATTTGCACTTCCCAGGGACTCCCCTGGGAATAACAACCATAGCCAACTAACAGGTGAAGATTAGATTATTTACTCCTTGTAAAGCACTTAGCACAGTGCCTGGCACCTGGTTGTAGAAAATACCTAATAAATGGGTATTGATAGGAATGATGTGGATCTTCTCTGGGTGTTATGGGAGCATGGAGGAAGAGAGGTTCTGTTCTCTATATTTTACTCCTCCCTTCCTCTGGCCACTTCTCTTCCTCTGCCAGCCACCAGTCTTCTCACTTCCTAACGTGGAAACGAGGTCACCCAGAGCAAGAATACTCAACAGAAGAACAATCAGTCTTAGAAGATACGCAACCAGAATGCTCCTTAGAAGCAAGGATGACAAGACTTCAGCTTGCCTGCTTTGGACACGTCATCAGGAAAGACCAATTGCTAGAAAAGGACATCATGTTTGGTGAAGTAGAGGGTCAACGAAAATGAGGAAAATTCTCAATGAGATAGATTGATACAATAACCACAACAATGGACTCAAACGTACCAAAGATCATGAAGATGGCACAGGACTGGGCAACATTTTGTCGTCTTTATATAAGGTCACCATCAGTCGGAGGTGACTCGATAGCAGCTAACAAGAACAACAGAGCAGGAGGTGAAGGAAAACATGAATCATCAACAAAAACTGAGCTCCCTGAGTATGCCACACAAGTGAGCACCCTTCCTCCTCCTAGGAAGCGATTCTCCACACTACTCCCAAGCCAACTGGGCCCTCTTGACTCCAGTCTGCAGTACCTGCTCAGGCTTGCGTCATTCTCCGGACAGGTTTTTAGACTACTCTTCCTCAAGCCCTAAAGGTCATAACTCCCTTGGACTGCTGTAAAAACACAGTGCAGAAATCACAGAGTCCAGGGAAGAAAAATAGGCAGCAAAATGGAACCCAATGCAGGCAGTTGAACAGATGTTCATTTTGATCTGTGTCCAGTTGTGGTCAGACCAACAAAAGAATAAAAGGTCCAGAAAAAGGCAAGCAGAAGGGGTGGGGGGAGGAGCTAGTAATGTCAAATTTGAGACTCTATATGATAAAATTTAGTCCATTTATCATAGCATACAAAAGAATACATTCTGTTAAAGATAAGCCAAAATCTTTTTTAAGTGGTTACATAGAAGGGAAGGAACAAACAGGGTGGAGGAGATAGGAATAGAAACTAGGCTTCACTGATATACATTGTTTTTTAGATCTGATTTGGAACCATCTGCATATTTTACATGATTACAAACAAAATTGTTTTTTAAATGCATTCCCTAAAAAATCACATGCAAAATAAAACAAAAGAATTGCACAACTTAGTAAGTTAGTGGTATAATCTCAGAGAGGAGAACTATGTCAAATAAATTTAAACCACAGTCAGTTGACTGTATATCCCTACTGAGATACATACCCTAAGGACAAAAGAGCTGAAAAAATGGTTTTCATTATCATCTTCATGGTGATAATGTTGATACTGTTATTCTAAGAGTGTGTATAATTATCAAGGGATAAAGCACATGTTGGTGTATTTGGGAGCTGGGGTATTTGGTTGGGAGAAAGAAGATGTAAGATATATAAAGCTATGTAAAAACAGGAAGAGCCCATATTTAAATTGGAAATACTAGTATGAACGAACCATGATTTTTATCCGCAAATATATATGTTTGTATTTTCTTTCCACTAGAAATCCCTAGAGCAAGGACCAGCCGAGTACCAACAACCATCCCTAGCATCCTGACTGTGGTCTCTAATTGCCAGTTCCCATCAGAAGAAACCAGGATTCCCTGAAGAAATGTTTGATTCCTAGCCTGAGTAAGGAAATATGCAAGATGTGCCCAGATACCTTGACATATCAGAAAGTCAAGATGCTATCAAAGCCTCCCAGAACAATGTCAAAAGGAAGACTCCCACCTGCCAAAAATGGAACAATTTGAGTATTAATGAGAATAATAACTGCAATGAACTGAAGAACATCACACATGTTTAAATCCTTGACTTCACAGTGATATTAAAAAAAAAAAAACAACTGGTCACTTTTGGAGGGTTCTATGTACCCAACTCACTAATTCGATAACTAGTAATAAAGGGGGAAGAAATTCAAACATTTATCCTGCCTTTTCTATAGGAATCATACCTGATCACATGGCTGATGAGGCACTTTCTCTTACAGAAGTAGCCCAGCCTTAAACAGGGATAGGAATGATAGAATTCTAACATCGTTATTTTGCAATCCCTAATGAAATAATGAGGAGTCCTGTTGGCATGGTAGTTAAGCACTTGGCTAATAACCAAAAGGTCAGCAGTTCAAATCCACCAGCCACTCTGCTAGAGAAAGATGTGGCAGTCTGCTTCTGTAAAAGATTACAGCCTTGGAAACCCTGTGGGGGTTCTACTCTGTCCTATAGGGTCTCTATGAATTGAAATCCACTTGATGGTAACAGGTTTGGTTTTTGTGTTTTTTTTTTTTTTTAAATGAAATAATAGAGTCTCTGGGTGGTGCAAACAGTTAGCTCACTTGACTACTAATTGGAAGGTTGGAGGTTTGAGTCCACCCAGAGGCATCTTGGAAGAGTTTTCTTGTTTGTTTTTTATCATCAAGTTCAAAATACCAGTTTTAAATTTACCCCAATTTATAATTCTTAAAAACCATCATGTTTTCAGGACTCCTCTCATTTTCATTACGTCTATTACCAATATTAGCAAATGGCTTTCCTTTTGGGGGAATTTTCACAAAGAAGCAAAGTTTTAAAAAATTTGCTTTCCATAAGTTCCTGCCTTTGGGACCACCAGCTGAGAAGCACAAAGCAGCTTTGGGAGACCTCAGACGCTGGGTGGTTTGCTCTGACCACTTAGCCATATCCAGCCTGGCAACGCCATTCATGTCTGTGCCTCAGCAAAACTGTGCGTTCTCACATCAGGGGTCTCCACAGACAACTGAAACAATCAGAAACTTTAAATCTGCAAATGCCATGTGTTGACTATTTACGGTACCAAATGTCCATTTCAAGGAGACATGAGCAAGTAATAAAGCCATGTGCCACATTATTGCTTCGTTGATTCACTGAAACAATTCTAGATATGATTAGTTGTAGCTACAGAGTTAAGCATCATTATTATTTATGGGATTTGTTTGTTTGTTTTTATATGAATTATTGGCAACATAATTCAAATGTTGCTCCTTTACTGGGGACAGACAGACCCCACATAACATAGTTTGAATC